CGTTCTTTATATGGGCTTAAGCAAGCTCCCCGTGCTTGGTTCACTCGTTTGCATGATTTTCTGGTTTCTGTTGGTTTCTCACCTTCCAAGACGGATGTCTCTTTATTTATATATTCACATGGCAATACTCGTCTATATTTTCTGGTTTATGTGGATGATATTTTGGTTATGGGTTCTGATTCGGCTCATGTGACTGCTCTTATTGACAAGTTGGCTCTTGAGTTGAAAGTTCGTGATATGGGCGTGCCCTCGTTTTTTCTGGGTATTGAGACCATTCCGTTGTCTGATGGCATGCTTCTGTCTCAACAACGGTACATGAAAGATATTCTAAAACGAGCAGGTATGGTTGATTGCAAGCACGTGGCCACTCCGGTTTCAACCACGAAGGCCGAGACTGAAGCTGTGGTACCATACGCTGATCCCACTCAGTATCGCAGCTTTGCAGGTAACTCGGCCTGATCTTTTCTATGCAGTTAATCATTTGTGTCAGCACATGCACTCTCCCTCTACTGCGGATTGGGCGGCTCTTAAGAGGGTGTCACAGTATGTAAATGAGACACTACATCTTGGTCTTAAAATTGCTTCTTCTCCTTCTCTGGATATTCATGCATATTCTGATTCGGATTGGGCTGGCAATCCTGATGATCGCAAATCTACTAGTGGTTTTGCTGTGTTTTTGGGGACCAATCTTGTCTCATGGGTTTGTCGAAAACAGCGCACTGTGGCTCGTTCATCAACTGAGGTTGAATACAAAGGACTGGCTGATGTCTCTGCAGAGGTTACTTGGCTCGTCTATCTGATGAAGGAATCGGGTTTGCGCCACCTTCTGTGCCCAAACTCTGGTGTGACAATCTGGGAGCTACTTATCTGTGTGCTAATCCGATGTTTCATGCTCGCACCAAGCACATTGAGATCGACTACCACTTTGTTCGTGATAAAGTCGCAAAGAAGGAATTACAAGTCAATTTTATTTCTACCAAAGATCAGATAGCGAATATTTTTACTAAATCTCTTTCGTCTGTGCGTTTTAATTTACTCCGTTGCAAGCTCAATGTTTTGGCTGACTAACCTTGTGCTTGAGGGGGAGTATTAGGACTCTACTAGTAGTATTAGACTAGATCTCTATTATATTAGTAGTATTAGACTAAATCTCTATTTCATGTCTTTATATACTTTATATCCGCTGCTCTTGATCAGTACACAGAAAATATATTCTCATCCTTACCCTCTATAAATATGACTTGATAATTAATAAAGAGAAAATGTCAAATTTTCCTTCAGTTATATTATAGTTGTTGATTTAGTTTTTAAATTATTTACGTTATCATTTTTATCCTTCAATTATTTCTTTGGTGCCTCTTTTCACCCAAACCTTCATGGAATGCTCAATATAGAAATAAAATTTGAGTTAATTTTATTTCTGGTCCTAGATTTATAGGTGACAGTCACTTTTAGTCTTTTTTTAATCAGAACATTCCCTTTTGGTTCTAGTATTATTATGACATGACCAATTTTGGTCATTTATTAAAAATTGTTGAAATTTTGTTAAATACAAGGGCATTTCGATCTTCAATTATGATTTTTTTTCAAAAAAAATAAACATAAAAATATAACAAGTCAATGCACTTTGTGTTAAAAAGATCAAAATGTCATTCCATTTAACGAAATTTCATCGATTTTGTTGATAGAGGATCAAAATTGGTCATGTCATAATAATACTAGGACCAAAAGAGGATGTTCTAATAAAAAGGACTAAAAGTGGACTGCCACCTATAAATCTAAGACCAAAAATGGAATTAACTCAATAAAATTTACTAATTAAATTGAAATTAGAGGGTTAAAATTGTTAATTTCTTTTACCCTAGTGCTACTCTTCTCCCTCCAATCCTCCAATAGTCTTTTCCCATAGTGAAAAAATAAAAAAATTAAAATATCTGCCCCTGAATTCTTGTTGAAGAAAACTTAAACACATGAATTGTTGATGACAAGCAAGAGAATACTTGGGTTCAATGGACCTCCTAGTTATAATCTTATCTTGTATTATAAACAAAAAGAATACAACCAATCATATAATTCCTTGTATGTATTGTGTTTTCCCATCTTTTCAGGTTTCATTTTGGATCATTTGTGTGTTCATAGCTTATCGATCATTTCTATATGTATGTCGGTTTTTTTTTTTTTTTTTTTTTTTTTTTTTTTTTTTTTATCCTATGTCGGCTATTTTATTTGTTCTTAATTCTAGAGGATTTTTTTTTTTTTTTTAAATACAATATATTTAAATATTCTATATTATTAGTTACATCTCGATAACCAATCATATTTAACTCGATGTAATTAAAAATAATAATTAATTGGAAAAAGATCAAATACAATCTTGAACATTATATGAGAAATCAATTAGGTTCTCGAATTACTCAAAAAAAAAGAGGTTTTCGAACTTTTAATATTTACAATTACGCACATCAATTAATATGTCATTTTAGTGCATTGAAGCGTAAAAATCGATTAGTGGTAGTAATAGCAAGTCGTTAGGGTTTCGGCGATTCTCCGTCTACATCTGAAGAAAAAAATCAACAACCAACCCATCGAAGAGAGCTCGTAGGTCACCTTCTTTGAAGAAGGCGACTTGTTGGCACTGTTGCAAAAATCCCGCCTAGGCACCGATTAATCGGCGCCTAGGCGCTAGGCGCTGGCCGGCCGCCTAGCGTATCACCATAATCGGTGGTCTAGGCGCCTGGCCGACTAGGCGACCGACTAGGCCGCCTAGGCACTGACCGACTTGGCCTCCTAGGCGTCGACTAGGTCTCCTAAGCACCAACTAGGTCGCCTAGTCGACCAATTAACTATTGGTCAATTCTTTTTTAAATGAGTTATTTCACTCAAAACAACATCGTTTTGAGCGAAATAACCCCTAAATTATTCAAACTCTAGATGTTTTTTAGGTTAATATTTAATATTTTAGTATTAACTATTAATGTATTAAATAGTTTATAATTATCAAGTCTTAAAAATTTTAAAAATTTTAAAGAAATTTTTTAAAAATAAAAAATACACTAGCGCCTAGGCGCCGATTAATCCCCGCTTAGGCGCCCTAGGCGCTAGGCGCTCCCCGAGCGCCCGATGGGCGCCTAGCGATTTTTTCAACCATGCTTGTTGGTCACCTTCTAAACCGAAGAAGGCAACCGACGATCGCTCATCAGTCGCCAATTGTTGTCTTTTTTTTTTTCAGAGGTAGTCGGAGTATCACCGGAACCCTAACGACCTGCTATCACTGGTCACTAATCGATTTTTTTGACTTTGATGTACTAAAATGACGTATTGATGTGCTTAATTGTAACCTGTAAAAATTTGAAGGCCTAATTGATTTATTGTATAAAGTTAATGGGTGAATTTGACAATTTTCCTTAATTAATTGGATAAAAAAAATTTGGACTTGTAAAGTATATGCTTCATTTGAGTCATTAATTCTAACATGAATTAGCCTTTCAAATCATTTAAAGGACGCCGTAGGTTGATATATTAAAATGTCATTATTATTCCGAAGTCAATGATGTTACAAAATTATAAACTTTTTTCACAAAATTGGAGCTTTCTCATTTAGTCAAACTTCCAACAATTATTGAAAAACCTTGTTAATTATTGTATGCCAAATCCTCTTCGAGTGTCTGGTGGCACTATTTAACAAATGCTGCAAGCTAAGCTTATTTGATATGATATGATCGGTGAGTCATATCATCTTGATTATCACTACTTTGACTCTTCATTTCTTTTCCATTTCTGTTTAATTTCACGTTTTCTTAACTTTCTTTATATAAATTCTCATTACCTAAATAAAAATTAGATAAAGTTTGGACCAAATTTGATATATACGCATAATTTCTATTTCTCATTCTCACACTTGATTGAAAAGTTAATTGTGAAAATCGAAACTTGCTAACATATATGCTTGTGATTGGGAGTGTCTAATAAAATTACTTGTTGAATAACTTCATACATGTAAAAAGGCGTAAAAGAACCACTTTGAAAAATAACAAGAATAAAAATAAGATTTTAAAAATGAGTTTAAAGAAAAAAGATAGAATAAAAGTGAAAACAATTTTATTTTTTTTTAAAGAGTGTTTTTTAAAAAGATATTATGGGAGGAACGTTTGAAATTAAGGGTTTTAAATTTATATGCATTTACTAAACATAATTAAAAACGTAATTATAATTTAAAATGAGTATAAAATTCTTAATGATCTGTCAAACACATCCCTAATATTTTGGTTATTTTTGGGTTGATAGGAAAGACAGTGATGCGTGAACATGAAAAGTTGCATTATTCAATGAACAGTACCTTGTACAGGATTTTATTTGCCGACAGGCAGACCCTTTATCGTAGATTCGTAGGCGCCAATTGTTATACAATTGTATTGTAAATTCTACTTCAAAAATTATGTCTACAGTTAACCATTTTTTTTAATCTTTAAACAAATTAACGACATATCACATAATGGTATCCGGGTTGGACTTCCATTTGGAAGATTGTGAGTTCGAGCCTCAGTGGAGGCGTTATTGGTTTTTTGTGTTTCAGTAGGTTGAGAAAGTATATGAACAGATACTACAATGTAATAGAGCCAGTGACACTAAAAAAAAAAAACGACATATCACATAATATATATATATATATATATATATATATATATATAAACAAATTAAAGGCATATCACATGATAATTATAGAAAATAATACTAACTACAGATATAAACCGTTAATTGCATATATTAGAGGACAAGCCTATTACTGGTCAAGGATAGTCAATAGCCGTTAGGAAGTTAAAGGCAGTTATTTTCTGTTAAGATGGTTCACTGCCTAAACTGCATTTCTTATTCTTTCTCATATAAATGGTGTAAGACTTAGAAGGAAAAGTTGTAACAACAGAAATCAATGAAACAGTATCTTTCTTTCTTCCCTTGATCCATCTTACAATTCATGATATGGTATCAGAGCTCTGAAGATCATGGCATGGACGGGAGGAACAAACAGACCTCAAGCATCTCAGACCACTGCGCCACCAACACCAGTTCCGACGATGACTCCGACGACTCCATTCGACCCGAATGATGTAGCAAGTCCCTTCTTCTTGCACCATAACGAGAATCCATCACCGATTCTCTTCTCCGCACTCTTGGATGGGCGGAATTATCATCCCTGGGCCAGGGGAATGGAGATGGCCCTGCTCTCAAAGAATAAGCTAGGGTTTGTGGACGGAACCATAGCTATGCCAGAGATCAATGATGTTAAGTTCCCTTACTGGAAAAAGGTGCAATAATATGGTCTGCACCTGGATAATGCGTTCGCTTTCATCTGAGATTGCTCAGACTGTTCTCTGGGCGGGAACGGCAGAAAGAGTGTGGAAGATATTGAAATCGCGATTTGGTGAGGCAGACATATTTCGCGTTTCGGACTTGCATGCTGAGATTCACCAAATTCGACAAGGGGATCTCAACATAGGAGCATACTTTGCTAAGTTGAAAGTCTTGTGGGATGAACTGCAGGTAATAAGGCTTTTACCTACCTGCAGTTGTGCTAGAAGATGCGATTGTGGTTTGTTAGATAAATTGCAGGCTTATCTTGACAGTGATAACCTATCTGTCTTCTTGAGAGAACTCAATGACAATTATGTATCAGTCCAGTCGTAAATTATGATGATGAAGCCCTTGCCTTCTGTTGATGAAGCCTTTTTGATAGTCCAACAGCAAGAAAGAAGGTTCAACAGTGGAATGTTGAGCTCTCTCCCTCAAATGGCAGATAATTTGAATGCAGGGAGTGTGCTCTTGAGTCAAACTTCAGGGAACAATTCTGGTTTCAAGAAGTTCTATCCTAATGGAAACAAGAAGCCCATTTGCACCCATTGTGGATTCACTGGGCATACAGCTGAGAAGTGTTACAAAAAATACGGGTATCCTCCCGGTTGGAGGCCAAGAAACAAAAATATAGGGGCTGCAAATCAGGTTCAAGTAATAAATCAGAATCCACCAGAAAAACCTGTCTCACTATCCCAGAGTGAATATATGATGTTCAAGCAGTTGTTGCAGAAGGAAACTGCTATCCAAAGCTCTCCTTTGGACATAGGAGTCACATCACAAGCCAACATGATCTCTGCAAACTTCATTCCCAATGCCCAATATGAAGGTACTGCTCTTTCTTCATCTAACTGTAGCAGAATTCCCTGGATCTTGGATAGTGGTGCCACTCACCACATTGTTTGCAGTCATTATATGTTGACAAAGGTCAAAGAAACTCAGGGTATGTATGTTGAGCTCCCTAATGGGAACAGGACTGCTATCACACACATAGGAACTCTTGTGGTGTCAGAAGATATTGTGTTGCAGAATGTGTTTTGTGTGCATGCCTTTCATTATAATCTGGTATCTGTTAGTGAGCTAATCAAAAACTCCAGGTGCAAACTACTCTTATATTCTGACACATGCATCATACAGGATCAAGTCCTTGGGAGGATGATTGGAATGGCTAGATTGGAAAAGGGTTTATATCACTTGATGCAGCCTGAATTCTTTGTTTCCTGTGACAAAATGCAGAATGTAGAAGTTAATAGCTGTGTTGCTAGTAGTTTGTGGCATACTAGATTAGGACATACATCCTTGTCAAAATTGAAAATGTTACAGTTGTTGGATTCTGATTTGAAATCAAATAAAGAATTGGCTTATGATGTATGTTATTTGGCTAAGCATAAAGGTTGACATTCCCAGTAAGCTCCACTGTCTCTGTTGCTTGTTTTGACATGATTCATGCTGACATTTGGGGGCCATATCGTGCACACACCATTTATGGCCACAAATATTTTTTTGACCATTGTAGATGACCATAGTAGACTGACCTGGGTCTTCTTGATGAGAGCTAAACATGAGGTTAGAGATCTGATTCAAAGTTTCTGTGCTCTAATCCTCACACAGTTTGGGAAAATGATCAAGTGCATTAGAACTGATAATGGGCAGGAGTTCAAGATGGATAAATTCTACCAAGAGAAAGGGATTATTCATCAAACCTCATGTGTCTACACTCCACAACAAAACAGTGTAATAGAGAGAAAACGTGGACATATTCTGTGTGTTGCAAGGGCCTTAAGGTTTCAGGCAGGTCTATCAGAGTGTTTTTGGGGAGATTGCATCCTACAAGCAGTCTATATCATCAATAGGCTACCCTCTAATGCCTTGGAAGGGAACATACCACACCAGATTCTGTTTGGAAAGCCTCCCCAATTCAGTCACCTCAAGACCTTTGGATTCTTGGCTTATGCTGCCAACCTTAATGGCCACAAATCCAAATTTGCTCCAAGAGCAAGAAAGTGTTTATTTCTGGGATATCCTAATGGAACAAAAGGATACAAGCTGTATGATTTGCAGACTAGAGAGGTGTTTGAACTGTCTCCAGAGATGATGCGTTTCATGAGAGGATCTTCCCTTATGCCTTGCAGCACAAATCAGATACTCAGGTACCCCCATCACCTCTAGTTTTACCTACTAATGTCCATTTAGCTGATGAACCCTTGGCACACCTGATGTCAAGGGCTAATCCCATTCCACCTAATCCAACTGAACATCCCCAGCTCAGTACACCCTCAAATAATAACCCCATTGCCATACTGCCAGCTCAAAATGAACCCTCAGATAATAACTCCATTGCCATACTGCCAGCCCATAATGAACCCTCACAGCAACAACAAGTAAGAAGATCCACTAGGCATGTGATCAGACCAGCCTATCTCCTGGACTATGACTGTCAACTGCCTAACAAAAGAACATCTCCTCATATTTTGTCTGCTGTTCTGTCCTATGACAAATTGTCACCCAATTTCAAAGCCTTTGCCCTAAATATATTGAATATAACAGAACCAAAATCCTACAATGAAGCCATTCTACATGACTGCTGGAAATTAGCTATGCAGGCTAAAATAGATGCCCTCCAAGCCAACAAAACCTGAGAACTAACAACCCTTCCACCCTCCAAACAAGCAATAGGCTGTAGATGGGTATACAAGGTCAAGCATAAGTCAGATGGGACTGTGGAAAGGTGTAAGGCCAGGTTGGTAGCTAAAGGATACACTCAGACATGTGGACTGGACTATATTGATACCTTTAGTCCAGTAGCTAAGATTACATCCATAAGGACTCTGATTGCTGTGGCAGCTGCAAAGGGTTGGCAATTACACCAATTGGATGTAAACAATGCATTCCTCCATGGCGATCTACATGAGGAGGTATATATGCATCTCCCTCCAGGTTTTGTTACTCAGTATCCTAGGCAAGTATGCACACTGACTAAGTCCTTTATGGCCTAAAACAAGCTAGTAGGCAATGGAACTCTAGGCTCACAAGTGAGCTGATCACCCTAGGATTTAAACAAGCTGTTTGTGATAATTCTCTGTTCACAAAGGGGTCAGGTAACAGTTTTGTGGCATTATTGGTATATGTTGATGATGTCATACTGGCAAGTAGTGACAGAGATCAAATTCAACAGATAAAAGATCATCTCCATTCTACTTTTCAGATCAAAGATCTAGGCAATCTAAGGTTCTTCCTTGGACTTGAAGTTGCTAGAACTCAGAAAGGGATTGCTGTTAATCAAAGAAAGTATGCCCTGGACCTCCTTAAAGAAACAGGCTTTCTGAGTAGTAAACCTGTGAGAACCCCTATGATACAAACATCAAAGTTGAGCCAAGACACTGGGACACCATTAGAAGAGAATTCTCAGTATAGAAGGTTGATTGGGAAATTATTATATATGACCATAACAAGACCAGATATATGCTTTGCAATTCAACAACTATCCCAATTCCTAGACAAGCCTACTACTGATCATCTCCAAGCAGCTCACAGAATTTTGAGATATGTGAAAAACTCCCCAAGCAAAGGCATATTTTTTCCAGCAAACTCAAGTCTCAAATTGAGAGGGTTTGCAGACTCAGACTGGGCTGCCTGCATTGATACTAGAAGATCAGTAACAGGGTTTTGTATGTTCCTAGGAGAGGCTTTGATCTCCTGGAAATCCAAGAAACAAGGAACAATATCCAGATCATCTTCAGAAGCAGAATACAAGGCCATGGCTCTTGCTGCCTGTGAGATCCAATGGTTGATCTATCTTCTTGAAACATTGGAAGTAAAAATGGAGGGGCTTGCTGTGTTATATTCTGACAGTAAATCAGCAATAGCAATTGCTGAAAACCCTGTGTTTCACGAACGAACAAAGCATATAGAGATTGATTGTCATCTTATAAGGGAGAAACTATAAAAAGGCATCATCAGATTATTGCATATTTCCACTGACAACCAGACTGCTGACATCCTAACCAAACCATTGCAACCTCTGTCATTTCAAAAACTTATTTCCAAGCTGGGGCTTCATTCCATGTACACTCCAGCTTGCGGGGGGTATTAGAGGACAAGCCTATTACTGGTTAAGGATAGTCAATAGCCGTTAGGAAGTTAAAGGCAGTTATTTTCTGTTAAGATGGTTCACTGCCTAAACTGCATTTCTTATTCTTTCTCATATAAATGGTGTAAGACTTAGAAGGAAAAGTTGTAACAACAGAAATCAATGAAACAGTATCTTTCTTTCTTCCCTTGATCCATCTTACAATTCATGATAGCATATACAAAATATGTTAACTGTAAACATATAAGATTTTAGTTAACATTTTATGTGTCTGCACACTACTGGAAATTATGAAATTTTCGATTACCTAAAAGTGATCTTAAATCAAGTCGAAAGCCTTGTTCCGACCACTTTTGGTATTCGGGAAAACCTTTGTTGTTATTTCCGACCACTTTTTAGTATCAACTTGATTTAAGATCACTTTCAGGTGGTCGGAAATTTCATAATTTCCAGTAGTGGAAGTTAATATATTTGTACATGTAGTTAATTTAACAAGTTATGTGTATGTAGTTATAGTGTTATGTGTTGTAATTATCATGTGATGTGCTTTCAATTTGTTTACAGGTACAAAAATTGTTAACTCCAAGTACATAATGTGTCTACTACAGGTACATAATCTGAAAGTAATTTTTAAACCAAGATTTATAATGCAAAGTACGTAGAGCCTAGTCAGTGGACCATAATATAATTTATCCACAAACTTTTATGTGGACCATGGTCCATACAGTGTTGTGTGAATCATAAAAAAAAAATATTTTTAATATATTAAAAGTATATTATTTGTGTACTAAATGTACATTATACAAAATATATAATGTACTTTCAGTACTCTAACAATGTACTTTCTTTGAATATAAAGTACATTATTAATATACTAAGAGTACATTATTTGATATACTTTATATACACAAACAATGTACTTTTTATTTGTGCCTCACACTATAATGTTTGTAATTTAGCATTAAGCGTTAGCCACCAGGCAGTAGGGCAAGCAGTGGCCAAGCCACAATGGGGCAGTGTGGGCAGCTGCCCCTCACCCCCTACCTCCACCCCTACCCCTACCCCTACCCCTTTCTATTAATATATATGTACATGTATAAATTACTAAGAAACTTTGTTGCTCAGTTGGTAGAGCTTTGAATTTGACATAAATGTCATAGGTTTGAATCCATCTTATTGCACCTTTATATATATTTTAGCTTCTTATCTTTATTTTAGCTCTTTTCACCCTTCAATAAATTAAATATATCTTTTTAATTCTACTTTTTTTTTTGTGAATCACTTAGCTAATGTAATCAACAAGTTTATATTATACGTACTTCATCGTATTCAAATTAATTTAGAAAAAATTTATAGTTGATCTCATTAAAAGAAAATTAGTACTCAAAAAAAAATAGAAAATTAAAATTAAAGTATTTATTAATATAATGTCTTTTCTATTCAAACTATTTTATCTAATTGATTATATTTTATATTTTGTAATAGATATTTTTATAACATTTCAAAGTGTTTTAAAATTTTCACCCTACCCAAGTATAGTTTTGGCTCTGTCTTAACTATCCTATTATTCCTATAGTATATCATAAATATTGTATTATAATTTATTTAAATAATATAATAGGTGTTTGATATTTTGTCATTGATAATTCTAAAGTCATTTTACTCAATTCACACAATTTTTTGGATACGCCATTGAGGGTGGGAGGCATCAAATAGTTCCAAATTATCAGTACCGTTGCTTTAGGCATCCGATACATCATACAAGCAAGCGCCAACCGTTGAGAGTTTAGAGCTGTCAAAAGTTTACTACCGAATATTATATTTTAAGATAAGACGATATGCATGAATAAGATTTACAATATTTTTTTTTTTTTTTTTTACATAATTTGTATGAATCGTTAAATTTAAATGTAATTGATAAATTGTATATTAACGATAAGACGTATCACATGACGCATTATTAATCAACTTTGGTCTAAATAATATTTTATCATACATTACGGATGCATTACCAAGTGACCAATCTTCTGATGATATCATTTCCTTGATTCGAGGGATGAGAAGTGTAATTTTGGATTAATTAATTAAGTTATCGAATACAATAAAATATATACAATGCAAGAATCACATAAAAATTAAGATCTGATTATAATACATAAAATTCTAATAGTAGGGATTCAGTTAGGGTTCTGATTGCATAAAGAGTGCAAATCGAGTACTAATGTTGGGTGTGCTTGGGATTGCGCTCCCTCCAACTTTCATTCGTTATGGAATATTTTAAGTTATTATGATCGAAGTTTGGGGTGAAGAGGTAAAGTGATTTTTAGGGCCTAGCTAATGATTGATATATTCTTTAATTTTTGGAAAATACAAAGATAAAAAATTGTTCAAAATCAAATATTTTGCTTACAAAAGGCAAATGTTCTTGCCACAAAGGCTTTACACCCCAACCTAACAAGATGGTAGAGGGAAAATTACGACGACTCAGCAGTGTCTTAGGTGTGATGATCAGTGTCTAGTGCCCATAATGAATGATGGATGGTATACAAGGCTTACCGGTCGAACCGCCCTCAAGGTAGTTGGTTGAACCGGTAACCACAACGACTGGGCCGCATGGACAAACAAGCCCCAAAAGATAGCTGGGCCGATAGAGTCCAAGAAGGATACCCGATACGAAATAACTTAGGAGTTTAATTAATAGGATTGGGGTTACTACTCATCATGTAATAAGGATTGGATTTCCTATTTCTAATGTAATAAGGACTCTCAATATGAGGCCGTCTAGGAGTTTTAATTCTTTTAGGGCTCTCAACCTACTTATATAAATAGAACCCATATATGGGGAAGGGACAAGCAATTATCATTAATACAAAATATTTATTTTCTCTATATCCTCTCTATATTTCTCATATACCGTTATTTTAACAGTAGTGCTGGCTAGTCGTTGACTGTCCAAAAGTCATAAAACCGACAATGGTGTTATATATGGAAATTGATACGAAAACTTTACATATGTTCCCCTTAGCAATCCCAACACAAGTTCCCAAATCCTTAAAACATGGTTATCACTCGCCAACAAGCCTAGTCTGGTCGGCTGACTCGTGATTTGCTTGAAACCCTAAGGTGACCAAATTCCTATGTACCATCTTATCGCTCCACCCGGGCAAGGGAGAGTGACGAAGAAGAAGACTCACAGGAAGAAGAGGTGTGGTTATCCACTGGACTGGTCGCCAAAGTCCCACTGGTCGACCCCGAGAGACAACGCCCAATGGTGGTAGAAGCCGCAAAACACCTCCTAAAGGCCCTACAGTGGGACTTTGCGTCGGAGTGGATGGTCCTCACTAAGACGAACCACGCAGGCCGCAGTCAACTAAAGAGAACTGTGAGTGTACAAAAATCATACGCAATATATTGGCATATTATTTGTAAAAATTTAGATTAATTTTTTTAGGCTATTATTTTTTAGACAGAAGGATCAAAATTATGCTAACAATTTCTACAGAGATGAAGTCTTCAGGCAAGCTTTTAAATGAGTGATTCTCATTTTTCTAAAGATATATTGAAATATGAGGTCTTCATGCAAGATTTGAGATTGTGATGCTCATTCTTTCAAAGAAATATTATAGCTAAAATTATGGGTCGTTGCATCAAGAATTATTACTATAAATGGCGTGGATGATAGGTGAAGCAAATTGAAGATTAAAAAGGTAAATACTTAGCAATTCGAAGGTGGAAGCAATTTGCAGAAATTACAAGCCTAATTCTTATATTAGTTACTCCTCTATATTTTCCTACACATTAAGCTACGAACAGCTTGCTGCAATTTCAAAAACTCATTCCTAATTCTTCTCTATATCTTCCTACATATAAAGCTATACGTACAGTACTAGACAGAATGTACGTGTGAGTGGATGTGCTTTCATGGTTGAGATTTGGTGAAGGTTTTTTGAAGTTGAAGTGGATATTTGGCATGCATGTACTCAATCAGTAGATTATGTAGGTTGTGTTAGAGTAGTTGGCTAATACCATATCTTTGATGATCATTTAGTGGATTGGGGTAACGTGAGTTGCCCCGCAAACGTAGGAGGGTTTGCTTTGAACTGCGTTAACAATTGTTGTGTTCCTTGTTTCTTTTCTTTACTTTGTTTTCTATATTGTTATCTTTTATTGTGTGTGATTCACGCTTAAATTAAAGATAATTAATTGAATTAAAAATTAAGTAGAATCCATTTAGGAATCTCTTGCATTCAAGATCCACGATCCTTTTTCAATTGGTATCAGAGCAGGTGGACTTAAGTTATTAGTCCATCGATTTGGCTATATCGTGTTTCTTGAACTCAAGTTTTCAGCGTGTGCGTGTGCTTTTCTTATTATTTTTGCTTTGTTCATTCTTATTGTGTGCTAACTATTTCATGATGGAAAGGCATAGACTACCTCCGAAATTAACATGTGATTATTATGCATATCGGAAAGCACGTACCAAAATGCACCATAGAGCTCAAGGTGAACGGGTTTGGAGAGTCGTCCTAACCGGATGGACACATCCTACCAAGGCTCGAGCTACTCCAGAAGATCCTCCAGTACCCAAACCTGAAATAGAATGGGATAAAATCGAAATAACCAATGTCGGCTATAACAACAAAGCTCTTGACACAATTTTCTCACAAATGCATGAAAGTCAGTTTACTTTAGTAACATGTTGTGACTCAGCCAAAGCTGCATGGGAAATTCTTGAAACTACTTACGAGGGCACAAACTCCGTCAAGCAATCAAAATTACAACTTGTTCAATCTGACTTTGAGGAGTTTCGAATGAATGAAGACGAAACCATTCTGAGTTTTCATGCACGTGTTCAA